CCGCATTTTCGACCGCAGAATCGCACTTTTCTGGAAAACATTGTTTCTTGACTTTTTAATTCATAGATTAGTCCAAAGGGTCCAAGTTTACACATTTCTAACACGTATTCCTAATTTGGCACTACAAGCTTTTGAGTTTATGAGTAGAAGTTTTCGCGGGGTCTTACAATATGCTTCGAGCTGAATCAATATCGCACGATAAGGAATAAAGAATGTGAGATTATCCTAATAGTTCTGTAGCCTCCCGAAGATAAGTACAGACGTCTCTGTACCGATTCCGCAAGAGTCTACTAAACCTGCTTATGACTCGTAGCAACTATGAACCTAGAGCTCTGATACCAACTTGTCACGACCCAAAATCCCTGCGAAGGAGTCGTGATGGCACCTAGTCTCTAAACTCGGTAAGCCTAACATTTACAGAAATAACATTAACATTTACGGACTTCAAATTAAATAAATCTCAATAAACCACAATTCCCAAAACCGGTGGTACAAGTCATAAGCCTTTCTAAGAGTAGTTAAACTAAATAAATACAACATTGTTCCACAATAAGAAGGAATCAATGTAACGTAAACACAACGAAGGTGACTCCGAGGCCTGCGAACGCAGCAATAGGTTACCGTGAGTCTCCACCGCGATGACCCGCGCAGCTACTATTGATCAATACCTGGATCTATACACAAAAAAATGTACAGAAGTGTAGTATGAGCACACCACGGCAGTGCCCAGTAAGTATCAAGACTAACCTCGGTGAGGTAGTGACGAGGAACAGTCAAGACACCTACTAGTCAAATGAAATGAATAGGATGGGATAATAATATATCGAGATAAAATAATGAGGTAATACCAACAACGGAGGGAAATCAAAATACAAACAGTAGGAACAATAAAGGGAGAAAGCGGGTAATAACTAACGATAACCAAGTAAAACAACACTGACATAATAGGAACAGAGACAAGTAAGAATGTTTTCAAATAAAGAAGGCAATGCCAACACGGCCAATCACATCATGCCTAGTACGCAACCCCGACCATCTCAACCCTCAATTTCTCATATCATAATCTCAACTTCCAAACCTTCAGCACACTTGGCACCTTTTGCCCGCATATTTTTCCATCTCACTTTTAACAACAAAATCCACATGCTATACATTACATAATGTCCGTACCATTGCACTCCAGATGTTCAAGAAGTCTTATTTACATAATATAAAGTAAATTATAATTTCTAGACTAATTAGGAAAAAGAAACCAGCGAGAAAAAGTTGAAGTTGTTTAATATAATTAAATGCTAGCAGTATGAAGTAATATAAGATAATAAGAGTAACAACGGCTATAGCAAAGAAAAAATCATCACAGAAGGAGTACATCTCAATATAGAGATAACATCTGGGGATCTCTCAGTATCCCGAGGATCTCTTGGTATCCTCAATATGTGTGCTGGGGATCTCTTGGTATCCAGAGGATCTCTTGGTATCCTCAATATATGTGTTGGGGATCTCTAGGTATCCCGAGGATCTCGTAGTATCCTCAATATATGCGTTGGGGATCTCTTGGTATCCGGAGGATCTCTTAGTATCCTCAATATATGTGTTGGGGATCTCTTGGTATCCCGAGGATCTTCTAGTATCCTCAATATATGTGTTGGGGATCTCTTGGTATCCCGAGGATCTCTTAGTATCCTCATATGTGCTGGGGATCTCTTGGTATCCCGAGGATCTCTTAGTATCCTCAATATATATGCTGGGGATCTCTTGGTATCCCAAACTACAGTCCAAATCAATATAAATTTACATGTGCACGGCATCACCCTTCGTGCTTTATCACTCTTCCTCACCCAAACAGTAGACACAACAACATCCCAGCATGGGAATCAATCAATAGAAACAATAACATCCCGGCAAGGGTATCAACGATAGAAACAATAACATCCTGGCAAGAGAGTCAACAATAGAAACAATAACGTCCCGACAAGGAAATAAACAATAGAAACGATAACATCCCGGCAAGGGAGTCAACAATAGAAATAATAACATCCCGGCAAGGGAATCAACAATAGAAACAATAACATCCCGGCAAGGGAGTCAACAATACATAATAAGGGTCACGAAAAAACCAAGAATCACGATAACCTCAACAAAACAACAAGACATAATAAGTACGTGATAGCTACATCGATAACCACAATAATTGGACATGTAACATATTTGCACGAAGTCATAGAGGAACTTACAATAAAGGAGTATCACAACAAGGCAATCACTTCAATTAAGGCAATTAAGGGTCAATATAACACGTAGAATTAGAGGAAAACTAATAACATCATATGGAGCATATAGAGGCAATTTAAGCAATTAGGAAAACCAATTATAACGGGCTATTTTCCACATAATTAACAAAAGGACCTAAGAACCCTAGAGCAAATTTCCCGCAGATAAGTCCGAGCACACACTCGTCACCTCGCATTCACAGACTATAATTAGCATACAAGACTCAAATCCTAAGGGGAAGTCCCCTACACAAGGTTAGGCAAGATACTTACCTCAATCTGGCCAATTCAATGCTCAATTTAGCTTTCCCTTTGCCAATTCATCTACGCTCGGCTCAATCTAGCCAAAAACGACTTGAATACATCTAACAATGCAAGAGAAAACAATTCCAATTAACAAAACTATGATTCTCATACAATTTGTAAAAAGTCAACAAAAGTAAACTCCCCGGGCCCGCACCTCGGAACCCAACAAAATTTATAAAAGACGAAAACTCATTCCGCTACGAGTTCACCCATACAAAAATTATTTAATTCTGATACCATTTGGTTATTCAAATCATCATTTTACATTTTTGAAAGATTTCACAATTTTTCCCAAATTTTCCTTTAGATTCTCACTATTTGATGTTAAATCTAAGATATAATCACAAAATATAGTTGGAAATCGATTAGAGACACTTACCCAATGATTTGGAGAACTTTGGGTCTTTGGAAAATTGCCCATGGAGGTTTAGGGCTTGAGAAAATTGAAAAATTGGTGAAAATCTCGTGAAAAACCTCACTTAACAGGCCTCAGATGTCGCATTTGCGACCCAGGATTCGCAATTGCGAACAAAGAAGGGCTGGTAGAAGTCGCATTTGTGACAAAAAGTTCGCATTTGCTTTGCGAACACACCAGAAACCAGCAATTTTTTCCGACATAAAAATGAGCATAACTTTCTCATACGATGTCCAAATTCAATGATTCTTTTTCCTATGGCTCCTTAATTTCGATACGGATCTAATGGTGCAAACAAAACTGAATTTTGATCTCATTTGCTCAATGTAATATTATTTTTGCTTGAAGAACCGACGATGGAGCATCCAAAAACAAGCACAACATAGCCTAAACCTATCCGAAACTCACCCAAGCCCTCGGGGCTCCACACCAACATGCACGCAAGTCTAATAACATCATGCGGACTTGCTCATTCATTCAAATCATCAAAATAACATCAAAAACTATGAATTTAACCTCAAAACTCATGATTTTCTAACTTTTCAACCGGATGTCCAAATCACGTCAAGTCAATTCCGATTCTCACTAAATTTCACAGATAGGACTTAAATATCATTAAAAAAAACTTGTACCGAGATCCGAAACCAAAATACGAGCCCGATACCAACGACATCAAACGTTAATTCATTTCTTTATTTCCTTTAAAAACCAGCACAATAATTTTCTTAAAAAATTGTTTTCTAAGGCTAGGGACCTCAGAATTCAATTTCGGGCATACGCCCAAGTCCCATATTTTACCGCGGACCTTCCGGAATCGTTGGAACACAGATCCGGGTCTATTTACCAAAAATATTGACCAAAGTCAACTAAAGACCAAATTTAACTCTAGAAATGACTATATTTTTCATATTTTCACATAAAAGCTTTCCGGTTTCACTCCCGGACTGCGCACGCAAGTCGATACACATAATATGAAGATGCTCGTGACCTCAAACAGCCGAACCGTACGCAATTGCTCAAAACGACCAGTTGGGTCGTTACAATTGGTGTTGTTGGGCTGTTGGTATATGGTATTGGAGAAGGCCCTTGTTACAGGGGAGATGCTGCCCAAATTTACATAAACGAGCTACTAGTTTAAGTTACAGACTTAGCCTTTACTCAACATCGATTTCGAATCTCCTTACGCTATGGTAGACTGAGTTGAGTTATTTGAAGATTTGCTTGGAAGCTATTAAGGACTCAACGAGGTTAAGGTCTTTTAAGGCTAAACCTTTCCTTCATTTTGGCATGATCTTGTACTTACAAGTGTTTGATAACGAGAAATAAAGAGATGTTCGTATTCCTGAATTTATTCATATTTTTCTAGTCTCATAAGTTACAGTATTCTCCCTTATTAGGACTTTCTATTCAGTTAAGTATTGTCTTGTTTCAGCCAAGAGAGTAGGGATTCTCTATATATACAGTATAACCATATTTTCACCACCACCGAGCTATAATCGGTGGTCTGTTCCCTATTGGGAAACCTCTGATCAGATGGTAAGTTATATACCGAGCCTTATAGGGCCGGACAACTATTTTATTTACTATATTGAGAGAGTTGAGTCAGTATCAATAGATAAGCATATCTTCACATCATCTTTGACTCCCAGTTACTTTCAGTTTTTATATTATCAACTCCGTTTCAGCGTTAAGTTATTTTGTTCCCTTACATACTCGATATATTATTTCGTACTGACGTCCCTTTTCCTGGTGATGCTGCATTTCATGCCTGCAGGACCTGATAGACAGCTGGATAGATCTTCTCAGCAGACAGAGTCAAACATCAGCATGGTTGGTAAGCTCTACTCCCTCGGAGTTACCAGGTCTAGACCTTGGAGTCCATTTTATATGTAAATGTTTGATGAGTAGGTCGAGGCCCTATCCGACCATGGTACAGTTTAGTTATCTCTAGAGGCTTGTAGACGAGTCCTATATATTTTGTAAATCAGTAGATGTTCATGGCAGCCTCATCAGCCTGCACAATTATATATATCACTAGTTTGTTTCTTCTTATCAGTGGATAAACGAACATGTTCGTCAATAACATTCTCCAAAAACTCATCACAACTCTTAGCTACTTGTTTCATTCGACGCGCCAATCCCTGGAGATCAAGAAAACGAAGAAAAGGAAATAATTCAGCAAGATTTGGCGTTGCTGCTATATGCGATGTCTCTTGAATCACACCTTTGAAACCCTTATTATCCTCATTGATATTATACTTTTTCCCAAATACCATAAGACAAGCCATGTTGGCGCTAAGATATGCAACTTTAGCACTAAGATCAACTTCATCTTGATTCACTGCTGCCTTTTTGAGAAAATTCACCAGAATTTCAAGCTCTTGTTTCCTCATAGGCTGAAATGAATTGATCTTGACACTGCTTAGCAATTGTAGAGTACATAATTTACGCATGTTTCTCCAATATGGACCGTACTTGGCCATGATCAGATTTCTTTGATTATAAAAAATATAATGACAAGCTGCATGATATGGTCTACTAGCAAAAATCAGGTCATGGTTTTTCAGGAATTGTTCTGCAGCTTGAGGAGAAGAAGCGACTATAGTAGGAACAAGACCAAAGCGGATGGTCATTATAGGACCATATTTCTTGGCTATTTTATAAAGATCTTGGGAAGACTTAATAGCAAACGAAATGTAAGTTATTAGAGCTCTGTTTATTTCATTCTTGTTCTTGGAATAAGCATCTGTAATAGTTAAGGAGTATAGGAGACCTCCGGGTTTCCACTTGGCAGAAGCGGATCATCTGTAGCACTCGCAATTCAAATTACCTATCGTCAAAAATCCTCACGTGGTGGATGGATCCCCTATTTTCACAGCCTTAAAACCCTCCTGTTTGATGCAGAAAACTTCTAACTCTAGCCGCATTTGTTGTGTGTATTAGTCAATCTCCAAACACCCATAATGGTATTTATATAGACTGCACTTAAGGTTAGGGTTAGACAACCTAATAGACTGGCTAATTAGCTAGCTAGCACCCCTTATGCGTGTACTAAGCCCCAAAAAACTATTTTTTCCAACAATATCTGAGAATGATCTATTTTTGCTTGATGTTACCAGGGAATTTCAAATGTCAGTGTGAGACAACAACTGGAAGATGTGGACACGCTATCCGAGGAAGTGATCGATAATACTATGAACAAATTTTAAGAACAAGTAAAAGATGGGACTTGGGAATCAGAGGGATGGCCTCATGTTTTCACAGATTATTCATTGTCAAAGCTAGCAGTTAATGCTTACACCAGATTAATGGCAAGGATACTCTAGGAAAGGTCAGAGGGTCATAAAATATATATCAATTGCTATTGTATCAACAATTAATTGGAGTGCTAGCTAGCTAATTAGTTTATACATATATAAAGCACGAATGTTAGGAAGCTAAATGTTACGAGACGAAAGTATCCTCGGAAAGTTGATCGACCTTTTTGCCCTCTAAAATTAATATTTTATTTATATAGCAATTTAATAATGGGTATAAATATAATTTTAGATTAGGACTAAATAACCTTTTTCTGTTGTGATTTAAAATAAAATATAAAGTTTCTCTTCAAAGAAACAACTCCATAATTGCAAAATTATAGCATTTAGAACTATAATATTACTTATATTAGAAACATTGGCAAAAAAAGTTTTACGTGCATGTAAAAAGATATGTCATATTTTATTACATGCATTAAATGTTCTTAATTTTGTTATTTATCACAATCAGTTTGTACGTGTATAATTGTAGAAGTTTTAAAACTTTATTTCTTGTCTCAAATTTATTAGTCAAGAACTCCTTCATACACATTCTGTCACGACCCAAAATCCACTAAGGGTCGTGATGGCGCCGGACACCATTGTCAGGCAAGCCAACAACAAATAACTAGTAACTTCTCGTTTTAAATATATCAGAAATCACCTCTTTTATACGTTTAAACAATACATAATAAATTTCACTGAATAAATAATGAAACATTTAACAATTCTAAATTTCTGAATAAACCCATAGACATTCCAGAACCCGGTGTCACAAGTGCATGAGCATTTACTAGGGAATAAAATAAAATACAGTAACTGTCCGGTATACAAAGTGGACATAAATGAAAATACAGTATAATACTCTGAAGGAGACTCTGCTGACTGCGGGTTTCTCGATAAGTGCAACTCACCTAAGTCTCCGTATCAACCATGTCGCTATGCCACTAAACCACTAGTCACACATAAACCTGTGCAACAAAAATGCACAGCAAGTGTAGTATGAGTACGAAAATAATGTGTACTCAGTAAGTATTCCGCCTAATCTCGAAGAAGTAGAGACGAGATGGCAACGTCGACACTTAGTAATGGTCCAATAATAATATTATTCATGCGATAAATCACAGATTTAAAAATGTGCACTGCCGAGGGTCGAACGACGCGAACCATAGATGTATCTATTACCCCGCTCGCGAATCATACATGCGACGCGGTAAAATTTAAATAAACAATCACCCTGCTCGCGAATCATACATGCGAAGCAGGTACACATAGAAATACATGCTCAAACAGCGAATTAAGAATTTATCGGGGAACATTTATCCAAATAAAAGCTAATTCTCTTTTAGTGATTTAAGAAAATAAAGTTAATCCTCTCAGAAATTCATTTACCAATTCGATAGGGTTTAAGAAAGGAACAATTACACTTAGAATCACTTCGCTGTACCACATAACTTACCCGGCTCAGCTCAATGTGTACATGATTTGAAAAGAAATTATTGGAAGCTAAATGATTTAGTTGTTTGGAGCTTCTGCTTTGCATTTTCTGCTACCTTTGTGTGAAACTAGTATAGTTGATTGTGTGAACTTTTTTATGTTTTTTAAAACCTTGGTCTATTATCTTTTGGGTTACAGATTTGCAAAATTATAACTGTACTATCACCTAGTTACAATGTATGCGTGTGGTTGTAAGAAAATTGAAGAACAGAAAATTGAAATAGAAGTCCACCATTGAAGGCCATTCAAAGCTTTGCTTTCGAAAATAAGATTTTTTGAGTTTGTTATTATTTCGATTGGGTGTTGTTCCAATTGATTGAAAATACATGAGGAGTTCAAAATTAAAATTTGAAGTGATTTGGAGTACATTTGAGCAAGACTTAGAGTTAAATTTCAGAAAAGACGCAAGGTAGAAGACGAAGTCAGTTTTTGTATAATGATGTATAATATTGTATAATAGTGTATAAATACCTCTTATACATTATTATACACTTTTATACACCTTTATACAAACATCTGTAGACGAACTTCTTCTACAATTTTCAGTTGTAATTTCTGTTCAAAACCATTCCAAATCTCCATTAAATGACTTCAAAATTTGTATACAGCCTCGTTATACTATTTCTAACAAGTCTAAAGGACACCCACTCCAAATTTCTCACAAGACCAGATTTGAAATTTAAATAAACTTATTTAAGCTTGTTCAACAATGGTGTACCAGTTTAAATCTTTATTATATGACTTCAAATTTTGTATACAACCTCCTTATACAATTTCTAACAAGTCTAAACAACATCCACTCCAAATTTCTAACAAAACCATGTTCAAAATTTAAACCCACTTATTTAAGCGTGTTCAACAATGGTGGATTATCTTAAAAATCTAATTCACCACCCAAATGTATTTGGTTTGTTGAACTAATATTTGAGTCACAATTACAGATTCGAAAATTAGACTAAAAGTTTGAGCATTTTTTAAAAGGATTGAATAGTAATTTCTATAACCTATTTGGGATTGAATGTTGAATCTTAGTCTATTATTTTTGGGCTACAGCTTTGCAAAGTTAAATATAGGTCACTTAGTTGCAATGTATGCGTGCGAGTTGTATTTATATGTAATTCCCCCTTTAAGAAATTCAAATGTCAATAAGATCACAGATATTCCAAGTATAACATGCTTTTGGGTCCTAGACTACCCAGACTTACAAATATTAGTAGCTACGCACAGACTCTCGTCACCTCGTGCGTATGTAACCTCCACAAATAGGAGCACATAACTAATTTTTTTTACCTATGAGGACAATTCCCTCTTACAAGCTTTGAAAGGAGACTCACCTCGCTCCGAAATTTCCATAACTGGCTTCGAAGCCCTTTCAACGACTCCAATTGATGCACAACGCCCAAAAACTATTCAAACAATGGGCAAACCAATAAAAATTCACTCTAATACTTGTAACAATTCAAATAATATAAGTCCCAACTCCGCTCGAAAAGTTGACCAAAATGCCCTCGGGCCCACGTGCCCGGATTCCAAAATTTCTCGAAGATAAATTCTACCCATAGCTTTACTAACTCAAATATACAATTTGCTCTAATTTTCATGCTCAAAATTCAAGGTAAAAGTCCAAAATTCCATATTGTAGGTATTCCCCCAAACTCCCAAATTTATACTAATTTTTCATGTCTAAATCCATGTAAGATCACATATTTAACTCAAAAATAGGAAGAAATCACTTACCTAGTGTTGCTTGGTGAAAATCCCTCCTTGAGCTCTCCAAAATCGTCCAAGCCAAATGAAAGAAATGAAAGAAATGGGCCAAAACTCGTGTTTAAAACAATCTGCCCAGGCTTCATCGAGTTGTACCTTGCGCGGCGCAGGTTGTACATCCTATTATAATTTTCTCCTATTGTACACCTTCTGTTAAAACGACCATAACTCCTTGTGGAAATATCCAAATGACAAACTATTTGAAGATTTAGAAACTAGACTCAAAGATCTTTCATTTGATAGGTTGCACACCATATAACTCTTTATATATTCCGAGATATGAGAAAGTCGGCTCCATACATCAGAAAATTCTGTCGAAACTGCTCCACCAACCATCTTTAATCGATCATAACTTTCTGACAAATCATGAATGGTTTAACTTTCTGGAAACTAGAAAGCAAGGACAACAACTTTTATGTTTTGGAAATTTTCAGATTATTTAAAAATTTCGAGATATAAGCTTCCAAATTCAGCTTCGCGATTGCACTAGTTGCTGTCAAAACAGCTTTCTGCAGAAAATTTCAGCAACTCTTTGGTCCGAAATTCATTCCGTTAACCTTCCGAAATCCACCCGAGGCCCTCGGGACCTTAACCAATTATACCAACATGTCCCAAAACATGATACGAACTCGTTCGAGGCCTCAAATCACATCAAACAACGTCAAAATCATGAATCGTACTCCAATCCAAACTTTATGAACTTTGAAATTTCAAACTTCTACATTCGATACCGAAACCCGTCAAATCACGTCCAATTGACCTCAAATTTTGCACACAAGTCATATTCGACATTACGTAATTGCTTCAACTTTCGGAATTGGAATCCGATCCCGATATCAAAAAGTCAAACTCTCGGTCAAACTTCTCAAAAACCTTCAAATTTCTGTCTTTAGCCAAATGATTTCAAAATGATCTACTGACCTCCGAATTCACTTCCGATCGCGCTTCCAACTCCAGAATCACCGTACGGAGCTACTCCTTCAGACTCGGAATCCCAAACGGACGTCGATAACACTGAAGTACACTTCAACCCAAACTTATGAAATTTCTTCTAAAATGCTAACTTTCACAAT